TCTTCGATTTTACATATAAAATTATGCACGAAGATCATTAATTTTTATATATGAGTGACACTTGACCCCCTGTAAATACGCAATGTCCTGCGACTGCTATAGTCATTAGGAAGCCTTAAAAATTTTATTATTCGTGTAACGGTTATAATAATAACGAATGACATTTGATCTGCAATGTCCTGCGACTGTGATATGGGGGTGAAACTTTCAAAATCGAGAGGCCTAGTTTTTAATTAGTAATAATAATAAATAGTTAATTATGGTAAGAGGTTTATTGTTGTTGTTATTAATTCAATAAGGAGAGTAATAAAGGTTTAACCAAGTTATAATTTTTAATTAAAGTTGTCTGAAGAACAAAAAAAAGGTACAAAGAATTTTACTTTGGGGTTTATGTATAAATATAACATTTCGAATTTTAACTAATGGAATAGTAATAATATCGATGATAGAATGTCACCAAACCTTTAAATTATTTGATAATAAAAAAGATGACACAATTCCCAAAGAGGAATTAGGAAACTTATTACGTGCTTTAAAACAGAATCCTTCACAAGCGGAAGTTGCAGAGCTTTCTAAAGATTTAGGAGAAAGAAGTAAATTAGGGTTTTTTGGTTTTTTTGTTTTTTTTTTTAAAGAGTTTACACAACTAAATAACATTATTGTTTTTTTAAAAAAATAATTCAGTTGACTTTAATAAATTCATGGAAATTCTTGAAAGACCAAATGGGTTTGCACCGCTTGGAACTTTTGAAGAATTTATTGAAGGATTTCAAGTATTTGACAAAGATCGAACTGGTTATATATCAGCTGGTGAATTGAGATATGGTAAAGAATCATATTATTATTTTGTTTTTTTTTTCGGGGAAGAAGAGGAAAAAATAGATCTCATTTTAATTCTTTATATCAATTTTTGGATAAAAGTTTTGAGTAATTTAGGAGAAAAGCTTAGTAATGAAGAAGTTGATGAATTGATGAAAATAAGCCAAGTTGATAAAAATGGAAATATAAAATATGATGGTAATAAGAACAATAATATTATTTTGCAAAAAATAAAAAAAAGAATTTAAGTTTAATCTCGTCTTTAAATATTTTTTTTTTTTTAGATTTCGTTAAATTTATTTTGTCATCTTAATCGTATAATGGTATTATCACAACAATTATTTATTATTCAAGCAATTTTTATTTTTATTTTAAATAATTAATAATAATAGTATTTGAAAAAAGCATAATAAAAACGATTGATTAATATTTTTGTAATCACCCAACTTATGGAAATTATTAGTTTTAAATTGAGGAAAAAACATTATATTAAATTTTATTTTCATTTTTCAAATGAATAATATTTATATATAGAATAAGCTCATGCTTCCTATCCAACCCATAAACAGCTTCATAGTTACAAGTTCCACCAAGCATTCAGTTTGTTGCTTGATGTTGGTTTAACAAAATGCCCATCTAACAACTCCTCACAAATAATGATAACAATATTTATAATTGATAATTGATAAAAAATTCACAACCCTGGAGGATTTTCAGCTTCTAATTCGCTTCTTACTATATATTGATTTTATTACATGAATAAATATATATGGTGAGAAAGTAATGATTTCTTGACAGAGTTTCTATTACGTTTAATAAATATCATTATTTTATGCATTGCTATCATACATATATACATTCTTTATTACATTAAAGCTATATAGAGAGAGACCTTGTCTGTCAACCAATAGAGTTAATTTTCAAAAAATATAGTGTGGTTCTTGAGTCCTCCCTCTACTTTTTAAAGGTTGATTGATGAGGCCCCACAACAACTCCTAATTTATTTTAGTGCCAATTTAGCGCTAGTTTCAAAAAATTTTGAGGGGTGTCTATCAATAATTTTTCTTTTGATAAAAACAATAAAAATTTTATCTTGAAATCTTGGAAGGAATGATGAATATAGTTGTAAGACGATAAACGTATATATATATATACCTTATATCAATCTACAATAACATTTACATTGCTTTATACAAAAGAACTTTTTTTAAAATGCAAACTAAAACTATTCTCACAAAAACTTCTTCGGTCATTATTAGAAGAAATTTTACATCAAACCTCAAGACAACAATAATTAGACCAGCTATTATTACCTTGTCTGTTCAGACAAATTTTAACATTAGGGATTTATCAACACGAAAAAATTTATTTAAACTTGAGAAAAATTCAATAAATCGATTTTTTACAGCAGAGCCTGTAAACAAAGAAAGCAATGATAATAAATCAAGCGAGGATAACAAAAAGGATAACAATAATAATGGAGATAAAGATGATAAAAATAGTCTTAAAAACATCAGAATTCCAAAAGGGTTTGAAAACTTTTTCAACCCAAAATACAAACAAAATGCTAAAGGCGATTCAAAAAATCCTAGGATAAATAACAACAACAACAATAATAATAAAAACAGTAATAGTAATAACAATCAAACACAAAATAAAAAAAGATCAAATCAACAACAACAACAAAGAAATCCAAAAATACAACCAAGAGAACTCAATAATACGCCACAATTCAATTTCAATGCCATCTTTCCTCTATTAATAACAACCTACATTTTTTATAAAATCCTTGGTGGCAATGAGATTTCACGTGAGATAACAATATATATGGTGAGAAAGTAATGATTTCTTGACAGAGTTTCTATTACGTTTAATAAATATCATTATTTTATGCATTGCTATCATACATATATACATTCTTTATTACATTAAAGCTATATAGAGAGAGACCTTGTCTGTCAACCAATAGAGTTAATTTTCAAAAAATATAGTGTGGTTCTTGAGTCCTCCCTCTACTTTTTAAAGGTTGATTGATGAGGCCCCACAACAACTCCTAATTTATTTTAGTGCCAATTTAGCGCTAGTTTCAAAAAATTTTGAGGGGTGTCTATCAATAATTTTTCTTTTGATAAAAACAATAAAAATTTTATCTTGAAATCTTGGAAGGAATGATGAATATAGTTGTAAGACGATAAACGTATATATATATATACCTTATATCAATCTACAATAACATTTACATTGCTTTATACAAAAGAACTTTTTTTAAAATGCAAACTAAAACTATTCTCACAAAAACTTCTTCGGTCATTATTAGAAGAAATTTTACATCAAACCTCAAGACAACAATAATTAGACCAGCTATTATTACCTTGTCTGTTCAGACAAATTTTAACATTAGGGATTTATCAACACGAAAAAATTTATTTAAACTTGAGAAAAATTCAATAAATCGATTTTTTACAGCAGAGCCTGTAAACAAAGAAAGCAATGATAATAAATCAAGCGAGGATAACAAAAAGGATAACAATAATAATGGAGATAAAGATGATAAAAATAGTCTTAAAAACATCAGAATTCCAAAAGGGTTTGAAAACTTTTTCAACCCAAAATACAAACAAAATGCTAAAGGCGATTCAAAAAATCCTAGGATAAATAACAACAACAACAATAATAATAAAAACAGTAATAGTAATAACAATCAAACACAAAATAAAAAAAGATCAAATCAACAACAACAACAAAGAAATCCAAAAATACAACCAAGAGAACTCAATAATACGCCACAATTCAATTTCAATGCCATCTTTCCTCTATTAATAACAACCTACATTTTTTATAAAATCCTTGGTGGCAATGAGATTTCACGTGAGATAACATGGCAAGAATTTAGAAATGCATTTTTGGATAAAGGATTAGTTGATAAATTGGTAGTGATAAATAAAAAAAAAGTCAAAGTATATTTGCATTCTAATGTAACAGGTCAAATGTATCCAAACTCGCCCACATTATCGTCAGGTCTAACATATTATTTCAGTATTGGATCAGTAGAGGAATTTGAAAGAAAGTTGGAAACTGCTCAAAACGAATTGGGTATTCCGCCAACCGAAAGAATTCCAGTAGCATACCACGACGAGATAAATATGCTTAGTGCATTATTACAATTTGCTCCAACCTTGATCTTGATTGGAGCATTATATTATTTTTCAAGACGTGCTGCTGGTGGAGCAGGATCTCAAGGAATTTTTGGAATCGGCAAATCTAAAGCAAAGTTGTTTAATCAAGAAGCAGATGTCAAAGTAAAGTTCAAGGATGTAGCAGGTATGGATGAAGCAAAAGAAGAAATCATGGAATTTGTAAAATTTTTAAAAGATCCAACTGCGTATGAGAAATTAGGTGCTAAAATTCCCAAAGGTGCAATATTGAGTGGACCACCTGGTACAGGTAAAACACTACTTGCTAAGGCAACTGCAGGAGAAGCTGAGGTACCATTCCTAAGTGTGTCAGGATCAGAATTTGTAGAAATGTTTGTTGGAGTTGGTCCGTCCAGAGTACGTGATTTATTTGCCACAGCAAAAAAAAATGCACCAGCATTATATTATTTTTCAAGACGTGCTGCTGGTGGAGCAGGATCTCAAGGAATTTTTGGAATCGGCAAATCTAAAGCAAAGTTGTTTAATCAAGAAGCAGATGTCAAAGTAAAGTTCAAGGATGTAGCAGGTATGGATGAAGCAAAAGAAGAAATCATGGAATTTGTAAAATTTTTAAAAGATCCAACTGCGTATGAGAAATTAGGTGCTAAAATTCCCAAAGGTGCAATATTGAGTGGACCACCTGGTACAGGTAAAACACTACTTGCTAAGGCAACTGCAGGAGAAGCTGAGGTACCATTCCTAAGTGTGTCAGGATCAGAATTTGTAGAAATGTTTGTTGGAGTTGGTCCGTCCAGAGTACGTGATTTATTTGCCACAGCAAAAAAAAATGCACCATGTATAATATTTGTGGATGAAATAGATGCAATAGGTAAGTCGAGGGGAAAGGTTGGACAATTTGGTGGAAATGATGAAAGGGAAAGTACGTTGAATCAGTTATTGGTGGAAATGGATGGGTTTGGTTCCAGCGAACATGTGGTTGTTTTAGCCGGCACCAATAGACCAGACGTGTTAGATCCAGCATTACTAAGACCAGGAAGATTTGACAGGCATATTGCAATTGATAAACCAGATATTAAGGGTAGAGCTGCCATATTTAAAGTACATTTGAAACCTATAAAAACTAATGAAGACATGGAACATTTATCAAATAGATTGGCCAGTTTAACACCAGGATTTTCAGGTGCAGATATAGCCAATGTGTGCAATGAAGCAGCGTTAATTGCGGCAAGGTATTTTAAAGAGTCGGTGGAAGAAGAACATTTTGAACAAGCGATTGAGCGTGTTATTGCAGGGCTAGAAAAGAGATCAAGGGTGCTCTCACCAGAAGAAAAGAAAACCGTTGCATACCATGAAGCAGGACATGCAGTTGCGGGATGGTTTCTTGAGCATGCTGATCCAATTTTGAAAGTTTCAATTATTCCGAGAGGTATAGGCGCATTGGGGTATGCACAATATCTACCAAAAGATCAGTACCTCTATTCAACATCTCAATTGCTCGATCGTATGTGTATGACATTGGGTGGACGTGTGTCCGAACAAATCTTTTTTAATATAGTGACTACAGGAGCTCAAGATGATTTACAAAAGGTTACAAAATTGGCATACGCACAAATATCAGCATATGGAATGAATATAAACATAGGACCACTTTCATTTTATAATGCTGGTGACAATGAGCCGCAATTTCAGAAACCATATTCAGAAGCAACAGCCAGAATGATTGATGAAGAGGCGAGAAAGTTAGTTGGAATGGCATATGAAAGAACGCTTAAACTGTTGACAGAGAGAAAGAATGATGTTGAAAAGGTTGCACAGTTATTATTATCAAAAGAGGTATTGAACAGAGAGGATATGATAAATTTACTGGGTAAAAGACCTTTTTCAGATAAACATCCGTATGAAGATTATTTTACTAAAGACAAAAAATCACCACCGCCACCTGCTAATACTGATACTACCACTACAAAGTGAATAATATACTAAACGATGGTTTGTCATAACCATTACCATTTTTTTTAAAAAAAATTTGTATATATAAACTTTTTTTTCATTTAATAAAATAATCTATTGTATTATTATAACAAAAATGTTGTTTTTTTGCATTAATAATAACAGACAAAATTATGAAATATTTTGAATGTTATGATTTGCATAAAAACAAGGATAGATAGAAATTAGTTTTGTGCTGAAATAAAATTATTTTTGTTTTCTTTAATGTTTAAATATGATGCAACATTTTGTAGAAAATTGTTGAATTTTCTTTGTTTCTTTGATGCGAATCTTTTGACAAGATGAATTTGTGATTTAGAGCTTGATATTATAGCACTTAACTCCATTGAATGATCACATCTGTATTTGGGTTTTCATATACATGCATACATATATTAATATATAAAAGATGGGATTTAATACCTCAAGCCAGTAGATAACCATTAACAACTTTATTAATAGTGTAAAACTAAATACAAAAAAAATTATATAGTGACGAAGTCTAGATATCCAAAAGAAATGGAAATAGAAGAAGAAAACGGGAAATTATAAAAAATAATAATAACAAAAATAATTTATAATCATCAATTTGATTTGATTTTCTTCACTTGAGATTGACTTGAGATTGACTTTTGAAGTGATGGTATTATTAGTCGATGGTTCCATACTAACACCATTAATAAAGCATTCAGGATTAGTATTATAAATATCTGGCTGTTGATATAAATATAACCATAGCAGTTTCAACGACACTTGTTTGCGGAATAAATTCGTCGTTGTAGCAAATTTATTAATGGTATCATAATTCTCGGTTCCTATCATATTCATATAGTATTCTACTTCTTGGGTTAAGTGTATAACACATTGAGCATGCTAAGCACCATTCTGGATCGATATAATCATCAAAAGAAAGGAAGCAGGAGGAGGAGGAAGAAGAAGATGCAAATGATAGTGATGACAATGACAATGGCATTTGCGACGTTGATGTCGAAGAGGGCGATGAAGAAATGTTAGTGAAGATAAAAAAAGAAGGAAAAGCAAATTTGTTGTTGTTATTTATTATTTGGGAAAATTGACCCAAATGTCATGGTTATCGAGACGAATAATTAGTAATTACACATATGGGCAAATTTTCGTCATGTAGTTAGCACAAGTGAGTAAGTTATTACTTTTTTATAGCATTTCGAAATGACGTTTGTTTTAATAAAAAATGGCCATTGCAATCTTGGAGAGAAAAAAAAACCCCCAAGCTTAGAAGGTTATAATAGACAAAATATTCATTATAATAGCTGTTAAAATTTTACAATGGAATTCCAACAATAATAATAATTTGACGCATATGTTTACATATTAATAATATTGATATCAACATGTATGTATACTTGTAAAACTTTCATTGTTTATATAATAATTATCGGAAAATTAAAACAAACCAATATTTGATTGATAAATAAACAAACAACTAATTGGGAGAGATGGAGATTATATCTCCGTAATCACGGTAGCCAATCGTGTTCACGATTATAAATAGTATATCATAATTAGTAATAACAATTATGACAATTATGACAACATTATAATTGTTTTTTTTTCTCGATATCAATAAAAATTATCAAGATCATATTAATATAAAAATGTCGATCAATACATCTTAAAACTTTGTTAGGAATGTGCCCAAGTTTGCACAAAATGATTCGTCAGTATTATCATGTCATGAATCAATAACTTGCGTGCCATATAATTATAATGCACATTTCTCCTGTTCTCAAATATAATCAAAAGAAAGATCGTGCCACATTTCAAACCTTGAATCATAGATAGATTAATAAAAAAATCAGCAGAGAATATTGTTACTGTGTAATCTTTCAATAAACACTACAAATAAGGATGAATTGAAATTGCCCTTTACGTATAACAACAATTATGTTTTTTATTCCTTGCTTGTTATTGATCGCGAGAAATAAACGCGTATTTTCCGGTTAATTATTCTTTTAGATATTGTTTCCAAGTTTCTATTTATAAATTAATTTTAATTATAAATAATATTAATATATATAAATATAAACCAATAAATAGCGGGAACCCGATCTAATGTACTATATTAATATCAACCACACCATCAATGTTTATTATAATTTCCGTTTTAGAAACAGTCTTTAATTTTAGCAGATTTATGATCTCCGTATAAGATAAGATGAGATACAAATGCATAAATTATGCATTATCCTTTTTCCCAGCATTGGTGCTAGGTTATTCCGAATTACTATTAAAAAAGATCTTTGGCATCATGTCAATATATGAATGAATAATTTACAAACATGGAAATCCAAATAACCATCATTTTGCATGCTTGTTTTACGATACTGGAGCCCAATAGTAGGTTACAATCTTTCCTGATTTATAAAACAGATAATTAATCAATCCAACAATAGTAGAAAGGCTTTGTGTGTAACATACGCGGAATAATTTTTGTATCAAAGAATTTCAATTATAAATCTATTTCCTTGTTCATCCATCATATTTATCATTAAATCATCGTAAATGAAAAGCTTCCTAAAATGAAACATTCTAAAGAATGATTTTAAATGATACAGCGCAAGTCATAGTCGCGCAGAAACTTTATTGGCATTTGCAGATCCTCCCTCCAATTTCTCCCGATTTATCATGGAGAAATTAAGGCTCGAAGCTTCACAAATTTACTATCAAAGTTCTTTTAATCAATGCCAGAAAAATAGCAACTCATTAATGTTAATATATATTCTACGTATGCATATTATAGAGGGGGTTACCACATAATACACACATGTATAGTTTGCATATGTTTTTAATACATCAACTATACGCTCGCTCATTCTATGTTGGTTAAACAAATGTGTAATATATATATATATGTATATATGTATATATGTATAACAATTGCTACTAGTTTTCCCGACGCAAGGAACATAAAACATTAGTTTTCCCACGAGCTCGATGTAATATCCTTGACCACATCGTAATGTCGATTGATTTTTCATGTTTATCAATGTGCGTCGTTGAACAACTTATTCGATATTTAAATGTGATTAGGAAGATAGGTACGGGTCGGTTTGTCAAAATCGGGAATCGTTATCATTACATGTTAGTAATACATGCAGCCCAAATTGTCTTTCTGATTGTTAAAATCAAAAGTAATTATATTAATTAATGTATGTAACATTTAATTGTGGGGAGGCACCTTTTTTAGGTGTTTAATTTAATTTTTTTTAGGAAAATAATATATGTAAATGATAAAATAAAAGATATCGATCAGTTTAAAGTTTATCAGTTTATCAATAACCAGTTTTTTTTATTAATTGCCGATCGATTTAGTCGGAAAAATAATTAATATCAATAGAAACTGCTGTCTATAAAACGTCATTTAGTTTACTAAATAAAATGAATTTTATTTATATGGTTGAATGAATGATTAAAGTAAAACATTAAAAAAAAAAAGGGCTTTCAAGAAATCATGACTCAAAATTTTATGGGTTTGAAGATATATTCTCATGGTATTTATTAAGTTATAATGATGTTATTCAATTTCAATTTCGATTTCAATTTCAATTTCAGTTTCAATTTCAATTCAGTTTCAATTTCAATTTCAATTTTATTCCCAATCAATTGTTCTAAACATTCCTTAGAAGATTTCGTCTTTGGCTACGAAAAAAAAAGGAACAATTTTATTGTGTAACAATATGTAACACGATAAATAAAATTGGTGTTACTCATCCATAAATAATAGATCGAAAGGTTTGAAATCTACTGATCGCGTGGTAAAAAAATTTATTTTTATTAATAGAGAGTCTAGAACATAGATTTTATTTTATCAGGAGAAATTTTCCGCGCAACAAGAATAGAAATGATAATAACAACATCACAATTAATGGAGTATGATTTAAATTCACTTACCAACCTTAAATGGGGTCAAAAGCGGAAATGAAAATTAATATAGAAACTACTTTTTTAAAACTCCATTACTTTCTAAATCAATAAAAGAACATCGATCTAATATGTAAAGAAAATGTAAGTTTTTTAAAAAAATGGATCAACTCCCATATGAAATTTTGGTTGAGATCTTTAAACGTATCCGACGTCCAATTTCCTTCGGGTTAACAAATAAACTACTTTTAAAAGTTTTTACAGATCCGTATGCCCGCTCACGTTGGTTACTATACCATTATGGAAAAGCGCACTGTCTTTTTCATGCAATATCACTGGGGCGTAAATTTATTACAGTGGAGATAGTAAATAGTGCATTGATAAATGGTGCAATATTTTCTCGCTATTTTCTTCAAAAACTTATCCAATGTTTTGGAAGTTATGATTTGAGACTATTGAAATTGAGAATAAGTAATAAAGAAAATAACGGTAGTAATAATATTATTAATACCGGTAACAATAACAATAGTTATGAAAGGGACAACGATTTACGAAAACGTCTTGAAAAATTGTGGGCCGCAGACTTACCAATAGAGGTATATGGTGAACTATTACATGAAGGAAATCGTAAATGGAACGGACCAGATTTTTGTTTGCGAAGCAATGATCTCGAGTTCTTTCATTATTTAACCGGTGGAAATCTTGCAATAAAAGTTGCAGAAAATGTACTAAATAAAAATTTGCCGGAAATTGAAGATTTGATCTTAAATAAAAAATTCGTCCCAAATCCAAGAAAACCCAAAACTTCGTGTAAAAATATTATCGATTTCATCAGAAAACAAGCACAGTTATCCTCATCGTCTGAACAAGTTTTAAAAGAAATAGTGTCTGATGGGTTTGAAAACGCCAAAGCTCTAAACATAATATCCAGAGCGATTATTATATGTCCATATTTGGTATCTTTATGGAATAAAATAGGTTATGATTTGATTAGTTTCGATTTTAACGATCTAGTTTTACAAGGGAATTTCCTTATTTTGTTTCCGCCCAATTCTTTCGAAGAAACTGTCGAGAAACCTACATTAGAGACTGTCGTTGAAAAATTACAAGTTTTTATTAAATTAGGATTCAAGTTGACAAAATCCGTTATGGTTGATATAATTAGTTTATTTGACAATAAATTGAAGGATATCGGCGAAACAATTATAGAATCCTTTCAGGCTATTAGAAAGGAAGAAAAATCGACCATTTTAGAGAAATGTTTGTTCGAAATCCTTAAGCCCGAAAGAAACTTAAAAAAAAATGATGTTCTAGACTTTTTGTATCAACAAACTGAAGAATATCGAGAAAATACCTTTTTAAAGGTTTTGAAACATTATGAAATTGGAGAAAACCCTGATAAAATTGTTTATCAAAGTGATGAAAATTTAGAGTCCCTAAAGCTTTTTTCTTTTGATTTAAATATCTATCAATGGATTTTAGAAAAATTTGGAACTTCTTCGACTGTTACTTCAAAATGTCTCGAAGAAATTGTATCAACTAAAACCTATTTTGTTAATCTAAATAATAGTGGTAACAACAATAGCAATAGAAATCGAAATAATAACCTCTCACCTTCCACTTCTTTTTCTTCTTCCGAACCCATTAGATCAATTACTTTGCCCACATGCGTCCAAGCTTCCTTTGATGGGGTATACGAGCATTATTGTAATTTTTATCAATTGAATCGTCTAATGCATTAGTTAGGCCCATTTTTCAAATGATGTCTATTATATAAGAATAACACACATATCATATCTATAAGCATAACATAAGATAAAATATTAACATTTAATTAAGCTTCAGTAAAACACAAATTTCGATTTCATCATTCGTTTATTGTTGTACTACTATTGGAATTATGATTCATACGTGGTATTGGCAAATTTATGTGTCGTATCCAAGACTTGTGTATATATATAAAATTATAGATTATATCAACCCTAATTTTCAATTTATCGATGTAAGTCTTTTTCTTCTTCTCCCGCTCATACTTAAATTATCTTCGTTTAATTTATATTCTGGTTATTAGCAATTATGCCTCATATATTTACTTTAATATAATCATTTTTTACTTGTTGGATTATTTGGTGACTTTGAACTTTTGTATGATAAATTTCTAAGCAATGGTGAAGAGGCAAGTTCTCCATCACCACTAAGTTCATCCATCCATCTATTATGTATAAAAGAATAAAAAATAAAAAATAAAAAATAAAAAATTCGTGACAGACATCAAATGCTGCGTAAAGTTTACGAAAAATATTTCAATTAAAATAATGGGGAAGGTCATTATTTATATTTTAAAAATAATGGAAAAATTCATTAATAGTAGGGAAATTCATTTATTTATTTATAGCTACAAATAAACTGAAAAGACATGATTCACAATTTGTAGTCATAACAGTAACAAAATGAGTAACTGATAAATTAACGGAGAATTTATTTAGATTATTTGTTTTTCGGTTATCACATTACCCTAATCTTATGTATGGAGGTGAATTAGAATCCGAACCAGCACGGCGGGCGGTGTGATTAATACGTCGCTGCATGTCGAAATGAATTACACCGACGTGATGCCGGATTTTCGAATTGTCGAATTAATCCTCTACGGTTTTGCTACGGAAATTCAAAGTGAATTTATTATTATGGGACATTATTTAATAAATTGTAATACTAATTAAATTACCTACTAATAAATCCGAATAATTTTCTTCCTCTTCATCAGGAATTAAATCCTCAAAGAAATCACCAATATCTTCTACTTCTTCAACAAACATTTCTGAATCAAAGGTGAGAGAATTGGCATAGCCTTGCATTATTTAATTAAAAGCTTCATCGGATAGATTTTTGCCAGCATAATTAAAATGACACGATCGTGTCATATTAAATACCTTTTCCACTTTGAGTCTAATAAGCAAATAAAATTATATAAGCATATCTGTTTCATCTCTTTTGAGTAAACCAATTTAACACGAGAGCCATTTTTTTTTAAAAAAAAGAGAGAAAACCGCCAAAAAAATTTATTAAAAAAACTTATAACGAATTACAAATCGGCTAATATGATTCCCTCAATTCGACATTATGGTAATTCAGTGCATTACGGCATTACGGCTATGTGATTTATTTTGGCATAGGCTATTTTTATCAATAATATGAAAAAACATATAAATAATTGAGTTAAAAATTAGATTTTGGGATTGAGTCAAATGCCAAATTAATTTTGACAACATGTATATAATGCGCATAAATTACGTTAGCCGAAATTGCCTCTCTTAATATTAATAAATGATCATCGCCAATCCGAAATGCCAAAATAGTTTTTCATAGTTGTCGAAATTAACTTTGTTGGTTGCCGAAATTATATCTGGAATTATTTGAACACTTTAACTCGATCTGTGTGGTTTTTTATGTCTATTGATATAAAGAATATTGTAAATCTGAAATTGCTTGCCAAAGTCGACCTTTTCAAAAACCATTTCGGCTTTTTTTTTAATTAAAAAAACTCTCTAAAGATTGCAAAAATAGAGTTTTTTCAATTTTATAAAAGTTGCGTAAAAGATGATCCTTCTTATTTGAAAAAAGATCATCACCACACAGAAAACAAAAAAAAAATTTAAATAATAATATGATTGACGTTCCGAACGAATATTAGTTTCTATTCGTAATACAATTCTTATTCATTCATTTGTTTGTTTTATTCGTTTATTTGAACAAACTTTCAATGTATTTCGAATATATGAATGATGAGTCGTGTGATTCTATAATATTGCGATGTCATTGAAAAGTTGGCGCTAGGTTCAGCATTATATATCTCCAAAAGACGTATACATAGATGACAATTACTCAAAAAACCATGGCTCAAGTTCTGATGGTTAATTGGTTTTTTAGATCTTTATCAAAAAAAAAAGCCCTTGCATAATAATGTAGTGCAGATCATCTAAAAACATCAAAAAGGCTTTTTTTTATTAATAAAATTGAAAAAAAAGCGATTTTACTATACAAGATTGTGGCACACGATGTTCCTTCCTATTTAGGAAAAGATATCCGAAACACGTAACTATTAATATAGAACAAAAACAAAATATTTGAACTTTTAAGTTCTTTAGTCATTATGCATTTAGTATTGGGGGGGGGAGGAATTGTGCATTTAAAATTGGGTTTTTATTTTCCTATATAACTTTCTTTCCGTTAATTCGTATATTCGTATGTAAAATAAAATGTCACTGTCGTTAAAACTAAGTAATAATAACAACAATATGATTGGCTAATTTTGATGCTCTAAACAAATATTATAGTTTCGTTTTATTTGAATTTTTCATATCATTCGTATCATTCATTTATTCGTCTATTCTACAGTCAGGATTACTCGTTTCATTCGTTTTTATTTGTTTATTTGTTTATTCGAATCAACTTTAAATGTAATTCGAAAACTCCAATTTATAACGAACAAACCAAATTATTCGAATAAATTTATATCTTAACACTAATACTAATACTAATATTAATACTAACAGCTAACGATAAATGATTGAGTCATGTGATTCTATAAGCTTGAGACCTCAAAGAATATCATTTTTATTTTTGGATTAAACACTCGGCACAGCATTCTGTGGTCAAAAAAAGTTTAAAGCCGGTGACATTTTTGTAAATAAAAATAATTTTTTATTTATTATTGACATTAAATTAGAGATTATTATTCAAAACCATATACAAATTTTCATGCAGTAAATCAAGACATGGCGAAATCCAGAGACAGAATTTGGATTTTTTTTTTACCGCCTTGTTAAATTTTGTAACTTTCAGCATTAACCTTTCTAACATCTTATATTCTTCTGGTGTTGCTTTAGAGACCTTTAACTGAGAGTGGTCAAAATCAAGGATATGCTATTTTTCTAATGGTTTATCACAAAATACACTTGTCCCTCAGTAAATATGTTCTCGTCGACATTCAAAGTTACGTGCAGTAGTGTGATACTCTCTTACCATCAATTTCAAAATAACGTGTTTCTTTCTGAACAATGATTTTGCTGATGCTGGTCAAGATGAGGAAGGTCACTTTGACGATTTCTTCATCACAAATTTTTGTGACTGTTCCAATGGTTCCATTACATATGTTGTCACTAAATAACTTATACCACATCTTTTGAGCATTTTTTGCGAAGATTTAATTAAAAATCATTAATTATTATTATTATTAATTTATATACATATTCTATGTTGTTTTTGTGCATGTATTAATCTACAAAAGAAACCAATGAGCCTTTCCCAAAGTCTACCACTTTATAATCGTTAAAAACCACTTTTCTCTGAATGTGGTTGAGCTTGATTTATACAGAGCGTTTCTACTTATCACATTTTCGGTAGAAAAGACGGTCTTCATGGAACATGTAGATAAAAAACGGAAGACATGATTTTTTTAGTTAGTTATTTGGGGGGTTTTTTTTTATTGGTTCAACATCTTTTCTTTATTATTATTATAAATTGAACTTATATCCGTTTAAACCTCTTTTGGCAACACTTAACGTTAACATTAACATCACACAGTCGTAATGCCGAAATAATTACGTCCCAATGTATAATGACGAGGAATTTATTTTTTTAAATTGTAGAAAAATAGATTTTTGTATCTTTGAAATATAATATTCCATTGACCATAAAGTGATTTTTCTTGTAAAATTAACGTAACTTGATGACCACTGTATAAAATTTTGACGTCGATTTCCTCAATGAATACTTTTGTAATGATGATGGTACCGTCTTTTATTAGACCAGTCCCCATATGTTTTTGAAAAAAATCAAAATATCGAAAAACATTATTACAGCTAAAAATGATCTTTATAAAAATTTACACATGCACATAGAAATTGGGTTAGGTTGTGTTTTTTTATTGAAAAGGCTAGCTATTCGTTAATAAATTTTGTATAAATTTATCAGGAAAGTTATTTTCTTATAATTATTACGCAAATTTTTGGAGTATTGCTAACAAGTATACAGTAGGACTTTTGCTTAAAATACACCCTCGTTTGATCGACCAAAACAGCCAATGAGAGGAGGACTTTTAAACCCTCAATCATGTGATTTAGTAAATTGAGAGATTTCAAACGCGTCAAAAAATTTTAAAAAAATTTTTTAAAATCAACATGTCAGAAGTACCAATTTTCATAAAAGATGATTACGAAAGATATTTTCAGAACCATCATGTTAAATCACTTACCTCCTCACGAACTCTCCCCAGTGGATTTTTTAATATAGATAGATACAATGATGATATAAATTCCACTTCTAGCCAACATCAAGAGATCGCACAAGAAATATATAAAGACTATAAAACATTATACAATCAATGGTTTTTCGAATTGACGTGTGGATTTAATCTTTTATTCTATGGATTTGGTTCAAAGATACATATAATGGAAGATTTTGTAAAAAGCTTACCATGTGATAAATTACAAGTAGTTATCAATGGATTCGTTCCAAATCTAGAGTTTAAAAAAATTATCGAACAAATATTTACAGAGCTTTCATTGAAGAGAAAAAGGTGTGGGTCACTTAATGATAATGCAAGGTTAATCGTTGATCACTTGACATCTTTAGATGAAAGTTCTAAACAATTGTTTATTGTGATTCACAATATTAATGGTCAAAGCCTTCGATCCGAGAAAATTTTAAATTGTCTTGGAATACTAGCTCAATGCCCTAATATTTATGTTGTTGCGTCAGTAGATCATGTTAATTCAACTTTATTATTTGATAGAAATAGATCATTCATGTTTAATTGGTTGTGGCATGACATTACTACATTTAGTCCATACATTCAAGAAACAAAGTATGAAATCAGCTCGAAAAAGAAATCAACACAAGAAACAGCAACTAACAAACTGACAAAAAAAATGTTATCTTCATTGAGTCATAATCAACGTATTATATGGAAAGTTTTGGCAGAGAATCAAGTTAAAGTAAATAAAACGAAAACCTTAAAGATTGAAGAAAGAGGATTAGAAGATTCGATTTATTTCGATAAATGTAGAGGCAAGTTTCTCGTCAGAAATAATGACGACTTTAAAGCTGTTTTAAAAAATTTAATAAGTAAACTTATCGTTACAATTATAATTTCCAATAATGGCGATGAAATTTATTATTACATTCCAATGGAAATTAATGATATAGAAGTCATTTTAAGCGACGAGGAATTATTTCCTTAATGATTCATAATATAATTGTTCATTATTATTGTTAGTATAGATATTAACATTAATTTTGTAATCTGTTAGTAGATATTATCACTATCAGCATTAAATAATTTTACAATGATAATAACATAAATAATAAATAAATAAACATAAATTTAATCGCCCATATGTTTGCTAAATGAATATGCAACGCTTGCTGCTAACTTTCTTCTTTCATTATCTGGTAACATTTTACCTTTTTCTAATATTAATAATTTAATAATAATTTTATCAATATATATAATTTTATCAATATATTCTATATATATAGAATTTTTTTTTTTTTACCTCTTAGATTATTTAATTTTGATAATACTTTGTCCAATCCATCTTCTTCATCAAAATCACCAAATATTTGATCATACATTAATTCTACTTCTTCTTGATTTACCATTGCTAGATTGGAAAATAAATAAATAATATATTTTTAATATATGCAAGCATTATTTTGCAATTATATATTTTATTAATTATAAAATTAAATTATTAAATAATATGAAATCAATTGACTGTATTCTTGTCAATCTAGTTTATGATATTTACTATCTCATAATGATGGTTGAAATTATTTTAATTTGACTATAAAAAACAAAATTATTTTTCTTTTAGGAGTAAAATATGTTATCCTAATTTAGAATGTTTTGGTTGCATCAAAGCACCAGAATTAGAATGAAAAAATGTTATTATAAAGATGATTTGGTTCCTTTTTATTAGGTAATGAAGTTCTTTATTTAAGAACATCAACATTGCCACCTCAATAACTTCAGCAAATCTTCAACAACAATAATAACTTCAACAGCAACAATAATTTCAACAGCAACAACTACTTTAACAAATTCGATAGCAGCAGCAACATCAGCAAAAAATTCAAACATCAACTACTATAAGAAAGTGACTTTCATAACTTTCGACGACTTTTATCAAATGAAAAGATGTTTTTTGTCAACATACAACTGTTCCATCTGTTAATTGTTACCCTTGTATTAGGACTGTATACTTCTAAATGAAATATGTGTTGTGTTCATTATTGATATGACTACGACTACAACAAATTATGCAGCTGTCGTTTCAGCCTTGCAATGCACTAATAAGTATTCTCTATCAACTACGTAGGAGAACTTACTAGTCTGCTTGATACTTGATTTACAATCAACTCGATCAACTTTTAAACATATTACATATAGTTCATTACTCCCCAACTGGAAACGGACTGAGAATTGCCCCAGATTTAGCAGTGTATCAAATTCATCCCATGTTCTGAGATCTCTTTTCAATATACCTAACTTCCTTCGACCTGCTGTTTTGCATATCATGGCTCCACCAAGTGATATGAATGTACTTGAGTTTGAAGCATATTTGTCTTGATATGATACCCTGATATTAATATAATATATAATTTATGTAGGGGAATCCACATGCATACATAGTATTTCAGGGTTAGATTCAACAGCTAGCCATATGTGTGATGTGTGCTGGGAACTAAATTTCATAAAAAAGGAATACTAAAAG